TATATATATATATATATATATATAAGTATAAGTATAAGGCATTTTGTATTCACTTCCACCTGTACCAGGGTAAGCCGTTGCCATGGCAGTGCATTCCAGAGGCCACGCCCCCTGTGTTTCAGAGCAGAGAAACTGGTGTTGGTTTCTTTACTTTTGAGACCTACTTTTGAATGCTGAGTAGTTTTATTAAGAATTCCCTTTGCCTGACTGATTATTAATAACACATATTTCTCTGTTTTGAAAAACCCAGAACACATTAATTGCTATTTTAATGGGTGTAAAAAGCACATTTTTCCAAACCTGAGAGAGCCATTTTCTCTGTGGGGTTGTGATGACGGTGTTCTGATTCACTGATTTTTAATTACCCCTCACTGCAGGTGTGTCATTGAGCGGAAGCCGATGAGCCACACCCAGAGCTCAACCTGTCCTGGCTGATTGTCGCCACTTTCTCTGTCAGTTATTATCACCTCTGCAAACACAACACAGACAGATAATAAAAAAATATATCACTTTCTGAGTCACTTTTACATTTATGTTTTTAAATGCATAATGTTGAGCCAACGGGGGAATTTTTTTCTGATATAAAATAATAATTTGGCTTATTGTCAACATTTGATTGTTTACACACTCCTTTGATCCAAAAAGCCCAGTTATTGTCATTTTGACCCAGACTCCAGTGCTCAGAGTGGAGCAGAAGGTGGAGTTATTTTCTGGATGGTCGAGGGGGGTCTGTCTCAAATCCATAGTTAATGCTGTCCTGCGGTTTCCCCCCCTTTTTTATAGGATGTGGGTGGAATTGCTCTCCCACTATCCTGCTTTATGACTCCAGTGCAACTCCACAGCATCTCATTTACTGTAAGTAATCTGTTTGTTGAATACAGGCAGTTAGGATCTAAATCAGCTCTCTAATCTGAGTAGATTTAGGTTTATTTATACTTTATTACAGTTTCTATCTGAATTCAAGTTTTCTTAGAATAATCTGATCCAGAATTAGGTTACATTTGGTTTGTAAATGCTTTATATCACAACCTGTTCATGTCTGTTTTTACTTCATAGTAATAACCCGGTTTGTTCCTCAGCAAAATATTTCTATTTCAACAATTAAAAAAAGGCATGAATAGATCTTGAACTATTTGTATTCTCCCTTCTCCATGTATTTACAGTCCATCCCGTAAGGGGCGGACCAGAGACCCTCCTCTAATGAAAGGGTTGCTTAGAAGCGCTCTGCTATTTAAGTGTCAGCCGAGGCCTTCAGAGAGGAGTTTTGTTCCCATTTAGTCAGAGTCCTCCATTGTACGTCAAACCAGATCCAGTTGCTAGGAGCTCAGCTATTCAGTGTGGTGTGTACAGTACAGAGGAACAGAGCTGCTTTCACCTCTAGACCAGATCTGATCCAGGGTCTGTGAATGGAGCAAACTGATGGATGCTCCAAACTCATTCATCCAGAAAAATGATCAAGGATTTTTATTTACATGGTAAAACTTTAGGCAAATAGATCTAATTCAGGTAGCAGGACTTTGTTTAAACAGCTCAACAGATAAACTGTAGTACATTAAATATCTTTATGCTGGATGTAGTTTAGTGTGCCCAAACAGAGTTGCCATTCTCACTATTTAGGAATGTAGCCGTTGCCTTTAATACACAGTGATTCATAAGCAGAGGCATAAAGTTTGCTCAAATATATGTAAGTTAGAGTAGAGCAGCACTACTTTAACATTTTCTTACTCATGTAAAAGTAGAAAGTTGTTGTCCAAGAAATAACTCTGTTTGGTTGAATGTATACTCTGTATAAATGTAATCTAAATAAATGTAATCTGACAAACAGTGATGAGTAAATTCTGGTATTTAAAAATATAAAATAAAATAGAAAATAATAAGAATAAATTCATTATTTTTGATTATTCATTATTTACTATTCATTTCGTGCAATTACATGCATTGGATCGCACAAGTTAATGCCAGTTCATTGATTTGATCTAATGAGTCATAAGAAAAATTAGCAAAAAAAAAAAAAAAAAACAGGCATGAAAGGGAGTGGGAAGGAGAAAAGTTATTAAATCCCGTCCCGATGCTTATTCACAGTAAACGTTTCTTTTACGTTTCTTTTCTGTTTTTATTATTATTATTATTTTTTATTTTTTTTTTTATGGCAACTTAGAGCACAAATTGAAAGGTCAAAAGCAGGCAAAATCACAATTGTGTTAACCGAGCATATAATTAATCACATTGTATCTTTTTATTTTTTATAAAACCAGCAATGATTAATACAGAAAAATGGTAATAGTTTACACAGTATCAACAATAGTAAATAAAACTTACAAACAATGGTAATGGATAAATACCAGCAATGGTAATAAGCACACATTGACCTAATATACATTTATGATTACATGATTACAAAATTACCAATAGGGGCTAAAAAAACATTTTACCAAACATTTTTCTCAGCATAAACTTATAATTACAAATCTTTCCAGCGTATCAGGAAAGGTTAAAGAACTTCCAGTGACAATATCTACTAGATATAGATCTATATATCAGTCAGCAAATATTTTTTCTATTGCTTATTCATGCATGTTTTGTCCGACTCATTAGTGTATCCAGCAACCACCTTTATTATGGTTTTCTTTGTGTAAATGTAAAATATAAATGTTGTTTTTGTTTGTGTGTTTGTTTTTGTTTTTTAGGTTTAAATTAAGGCATATTTTTTTCTTTTTTTTATCATAGAAAATGGAGAAGGAAAACATTAATTATCTGCATCACCCTTAATAAACTTGCACCGGCCAATCTCTAATATCTACGGTTTACTTTGTTCTAATCTAATCTCTGAATATTTCTATATTGCAAGTCAGCTGGTTCATGATCACTAAGTTACTCATGGTGGACAGAGCATCCAGAAACTTAACTCAAGTAAAAGAAGGGAATTTTCATTAGATTGTTAATTTAGTAAAAGGAAAAAGTACAATAAAGTAAACTACTTCTAAAAGTACATTTTATCTTAAAGTTATCCAAGTAATTATAACTAGTTAATGACCATTTCTTCAAAAGCAGTTCTAACAATTTATTATACCTTACTAAAGATTTAAATAGTTTTACTTCCCTATAAACAAATAAAATAAATAATTTTGCTGATATGTATTTATTTTTCATTATAATCCTGAAAATGATCATTTGGTTTAAGGAACAGGTTAAAAAATGAAAAAACAGAGGCCCTAATAAAACCGTATTTAATAGATGTTTTAAGATGATTCTGTAATTTTATTAATCTTCATTAAATTATATTTAATAATCATTTTGGGGAGTTTTGGCCTAGTGGTTAGAACGTTGCACTTATGCTCTGAAAAGGTTGCAAGTACCGGATTCAATCCCCACAGACTCTCTCTGAGCAAGACCCTTTACCCCTCACTGCTCCCCGGGCGCCGCACAATGGCAGCCCACTGCTCCCCAAAAGGATGGGTTAAATGCAGAGGTAAATGTGAGCTCAATAAAGTTCTATTATTATTTTATTAATTTCCAAAAACTAACTGATTATGTTTGATGAAAATGCAATACTTTAAAAGCAGCTAGTTTTCAACTTATTAAATTTTTTTAGCTTTGTCGCTTGGCAGATTAAATGACAATGTTTGTTTAGTGAGTAGTTGCTGGAATGTCATCTCTTTAGTAGAGGCATTACAAATAAACCAACCAATCATGTTCTTTCACTAGTGGCAGAGGTTTAGGTCCCACCCCTTGTAGGGAACGCCAACTTTAGCTCCTCCCCCCCATAAAGAGCAGCCATGTCTCAGGTCCCTGTGGCCTTTCATTCATGGACGACAGTCAGAGTTAAAGCCAGCAGCGCAGGACAACAGCTGTGACACTGATTTCATAACTGCTAAAAAAAAAAACATAAAATTCAAACATTAACGGTGGATTTCTTCTGTGAAAGGACCCTTCAAAAGTAATATGTTGAAATTAAAGCTGTATACCTCAGCTTCTTTTTCTTAATGTCAGAAAGGATTCCTGACTTTGTTGAAGATTTTGGAAGTAGCCTCTCTCCCCTCCCAGACTGATTTGCAGCTCCATGTCTTTTCCCTTTGAAATTTTGTTAAGCACCAGATAAATGCCTCAAAAATCAAACTTTTAGGGAGGCACTCAAAGAAACCTCCATCGACTACTGTTGGCCCCCATATTAAGAACATATGCTGCACTGAAAAAAAAATCAAAACAAAGCAAGTCTATTTTTCTTGATTTAAATCTATTTATCATAAGGCAATTTGCCAATGCAATAAGTTGATTTCCATAAAAAGAAAAAAACTCCATTATCTTATTTCAAGTGTATCATAACTTCTTATAAGTTTAACAATATTCATTCATATAGTTGATTATTTTATTTCGCTGCTTAAATTTAGCGGCCCAAATGAGTTTCCTCCCCTAAAATACCAAACAATGTGCTCCATCCCTGTTTTTTGCTTTCTTTTCTTCTGTGCTCTCCCTGGTCCCTCTGGTAAACCTTCTTCTAGGACCGCCACTGACGTTCAGATTTATTATCATCTAAACCTGCAGAGTAATTTTAGACATTTTTTTAATCTCTTTACCTTAAAAAGCATGGTACTGTACTATAAAACTTATTAATAAAATAAAAAACATCTTATCGTTGAATTTTTAATACATAGTCGATTGGGTTGTTGGGAATATTTAAAGATATTAAAGCCTTAAGTTATGAAGTCTTCATCTACGTTTAAACTCTGTGTATTAAAGAGTTCCTTTGTGTAAGTCTGTTGGGACATATAACTCATCACTTGACATATTAGCTTTCATTGTCATGGTTACGGTACCATATGGACTTGTCTGTACAGGAATGCAGATGCCCTGCTTAACTCTCAGCTCGGTTACAAAATAAAATGAGTTGCAAGGACAAAAAAAAAGAAGGATTTGAGGTAATCGTTCTGCTAGTGTGAAATATTTGCCAAGCAGAAATGTACCCGTTAGCATGAGTACATGGCTGAGTAAACACAAGTCACAAAAACAGTTTCCCATAGCCTGCAGGCAGTGTTCTTCAATGTGAGCCACTCCCAAGAGGCTGGGAGGCGGCCTGGAAGAGGGGCCTGCCTCCAGAACCTCAAGCCCACACAGGTGAACTGCTGCTGGGCTGGAATGCAGCAGGCAGGAGGAGGGGGTGGGGGGGTTTGACACATTGAGGTGTGGAGCAGCAGGGTGGGAAACAGAGAAAGGGAGGTAACACAGCAGCTTACCTGGACAGGGAATGGTGTGTGTGTGTGTGTGTGTGTGTGTGTGGGTGTGTGTGTGTGTGCGCAGCAGCAAAAAGGATCCACTCCCAGAGCTCCCTCTGACATTCCCTCTGAGTCTCTGTGGCTCTCAGATCTCCCCCTCAGACTCCTGGACATAAACTCCTCACTGAGCTTAAGAGCAGAGAAGTAAATGTTTGACCATAGTGCACCTAACAGCAGAGGAACAGAAAAGCAAAGGGAGAAGAACTGGAACTTTTCTTTTACTTTTTAAGGGGACTTTGAACTTGGACAAAAGGACAAAGATTTTTATTTAAGCCAGGTGGACATCTAGAAAAAGAGGAAATACTTTTTTTTCCTTTAACATAGTTTTGGACTTTTAGACGTGGACTGGGCGCCTCCACTCTCCAGAGGTTTGTTTGATCAGTAATCCTTTGTTTTCACCCATAACTTTCCTAATAACTCCTTTGTTTTCGTCACCTTCACTTCTAAGTGTTGCAAAAGTGTCTGTATGGTGGAGCCTTTGGGGCGAGGCGAGCGAAGGCTGTAAAGCAACAGGTTTATGACTTTATATCACTCTACACGGATAAGGTGGTACGGGGCCTTAAGGAGGATCTCGTATGAGGGGCCCCACCTTTAGTTAAAGGTGTTACCCATCAGCCACCTCTTCTTGTTGGGTGTTTGACTTTTCAATGTGATTTTATTATAAATCAACAATCAAATAAAAAAGATTGCTTTTTGGGTTCATTTTCTTTAGATAATAATGACGCAACCATGTCTCGTATGGAGCCAAGTTTAATTCATTGTGCTTTCTACTAAAAGTACGAAATATTTCTTTATATGCTGCAACTTATTTACCTATTTTAATCTATTTAGCTTGTATATTTTTAATTTCTCTCAGATTTTTTCTAGAATCTGGAGGAACAATGATTCATATCTAAACAGTTTAAATCTATATCCTTTGTAAATAATAAGTTGTGTTTTGAACTTCAGGTGTTTCTGATTTCTTTGGGTCTAACTGGAGCTTCTTACAGGCAGGATCGGATTGTTTTTGTTTTATCTTGAGGAGTACAGTCAACTTTAAAATGGCTGCAGGTTTGACCCTCCCCTCATTTTTTAAGACCCCCCACCATCCCTTTCTCTTTCTCCTGAATGTGATGTCATGTCAGGGTCAAGCCCACACCCACTGGTGGCAAGTCCACCCAAAAGGTATGTTTTTGTGTGAGGAGAACAGTTGGAGCGCCTCTTTTCCTGCCAGAGAAGCTTTAGACAAAGAGCAGCGGAATGAGAGGCTGGAGGCTGTAATTTGGCTCCGAAGCGTCGGCTTGTCTGTGATTTTCATCAGAGTGGGAGCAGAATATAAAGAGCTGGTTTCCATGTATTTACTGGTTCATGGCAAAGTTTGCAAAAGAGCAGATTGTTTGTTGACCGTCTTTGCTTGGTGATCTACCTGTAGGGCTTCACATTGAGGCGTAAACCTGCCTGTCCCATTTGCTTCCCTGAGGTGGTTTGACCTCCAGCTGGTCAGTCTCTCGCCTCAGGGAGACATTCCTTCCAGGAGTTACCTTGTTGTCAACACACAAATCATCCATTTGTTTTCCTTCATCCCACTAAGGCAATTACAGACCTTTCCTGACACACAGCAGTCTCTGTTGGCTGTTTGTCTCTCAGATTGTCCTCCATCCAAGATTCCTGCAGGAAATTATAATGTGGTTTTATAGTGAGGAGCGCACACGGCACGCTGCCTGGAGCATCTCCAGATCCCACCCTGCATCGGTCCTTTCCCGACCACACTGCATCGTGTCTCAACTAGATCTGAAATTATATGATGATACCAAAGGATACATGAGGTTAAATGAGGGGGTTTTATCATGGATTTTGGAAAAGGCGTCACATTATTAAAGCATGCAAACTCCAAATAGATGGAAACAAACAGCATTTGTTGCATTTATAACTTACATTAAACTCCAGAGAGTTTCATTTTACTTATTTATAGTGGAGTTAAAACGAACTGGAAGAGTCACTTTGTTGGTCAGAATTATTCTAAACTTGAAGTTTTTTTTTTTTACTTTGTTCAACTGTTTCTATAAAAAGTGAAAACACTTAAAAAAAAAATACAAAACCTCTTAAAAAGACTGATAAATACAGTTTTTATATCTATATGTTGGTATTAATACTTATCTAAAAATGACATTTTAATAGTATTTATCCCAGTCCAGGCCTGGATTAGTATCAGAAAAAGGAAAATCTACTTTGGGAAAAATGCTTACATTCTAGGGTGCAAACATTTAGAAAATTATAGATCCAAAATGAATAAAAATTACCCTAACTCTGATATCTATTTGAATATTTAACATGTCATGATTTGGTGTGAAATAAAGCCATAGAGGTTTATCAAGCCGAGCTTGGCTGAGGTTTTCCACGTTCAAAATAAGAGACAAATATGGTGGAATAGCCCTTTATCAGACTGGTTCATTAGATACCAGCTTCAGCACTGGGATTTACTGGTAATAAAACCTCACAACCAAAACTTCCAGCTTTAAATTCTGTTGAATGTTCTATTATTATATTATAAAACCAATTGTAAAGTGAACTTTTAATGTAATTTTTTACATATGAGTCGACATTTGAATCTGAAAATGTCCCAATAGGGGACGTGTTGGCCTGCTAGTTAGAGCAGTGAGCTTGTGCTCTGAGAAGGTTGCAAGTTCAATCCCCACAGCCTTCACTGTGACCCTCTGAGCAAACCCTTAACCCCTGATTGCTCCCTGGGCGTCGCACAATTGCAGCCCACTGATTCCCCAAAGGAATGGGTTAAAATGCAGAGATACATTTCTCCAGTGTAAGATCGGTAAAATCAAATTAAATTATAAAATGTGTTGGAATCAGGAAATGTTGAAGTAGCAGTTAAACTGTTTTATCGAGCTTTTTGTCTGTTTCTGTTGTTTCTTTTCCAGGAGGGAGATGAGGAGTTGGTCGTTACATTTCCTCGCAGGACTCGGTCTTCTGGCCGTCCTGCTGACCTGCTGCTCTGCTGAAGGTGAAAATCAGAAACATCTCTTCTCTTTAATTAGATCCTTCAATGGATAAAATATCTTTTTAAATAGATAAACCCCCTCTTCAGTAATTTTGGGAGAAACTGAGGAAAATATTTCTTCACATTTTACTTTCAAATTTTTTCACAATTCAAATAGAAGAGTTGTGAAGTCATTAAATATTTATGTAGCTGATGTCTGACCAGTAGAAGTATTAAAGGTCTCATAAATACCCTTCTTTTGTACTTTGGCTTCCCCCTAGACCATGCCACCCTGGGTAGAGAGCCCCATTGCTCATATCTAAGTAGCTGAAATGTTCCTCCACAATATTTTGTGCAACCAGGGGTATTCTAGTAATGCTTTATGCAATGAACTCACTCTGTTCCCTTTCTGTGACTCTCCCTGACGGTCCCGGCCCGAACAGTGAACTACTGCCACGCCTTCAGCTCGGGTTCCTGCTCAGAGTGTCTGCAGGCGGGGGTAGACTGCGTATACTGCCCCGACGAGGTGAGAGCAGAGAACTACAGGGAGCTGCTTTCATAACCTTATTGTCCTCAGACTGAAAATAAATATTTTGCATCGTATTTACTTTTGACCTTGATTAACCCATTCAATTTCTTTTTGTTGTTTTTCTGCTATTTCACCATGCAGCCATGTTTGTTTAAAAGTTATTAGCAGATGATTAAAGAATTAAAATACTAAAAGCATAAAAACTTTTGCTTGTGCTCCCTGTTTATTCAGACGTTTAATTTTCATCGCTGTGACCTCTATAAGAACATCATCGCCCATGGCTGCAATGACAGGTCTGTCATTAGAGCCAAAAGCTTGCAGAAGATAGAGAAAGTAAGTTAATTGTCCAATTTATATAACATTTTAGTATTCTATATATTTTTTATATTTAATGTTTTCTCTTCATCTGTGTTGCAGAAAGATGCAATCAATGTGGCGCTTCAGCAGTCTCAGGTGTCGCCACAGCTGGCAACCATGACCTTTCTGCCTGGAGAATCTAAAGATTTGGACGTGGAGGTATTTGCTCCGACTAAAGGCCCTCTGGATCTTTATATTCTTATGGACTTCTCAAACTCCATGAAGGACGATTTGGACAACTTAAAGAAAATGGGCAATCAGCTGGGTGAGCAGACTTTGGCTCTGGAGATGTGTAGCCAGTGGCGGTTCTAGACTATATTTACTAGGAGGGCCAGGATGGGGACAGAATGTTTTCATGGGGCACAGAAGATCATGAAACAAAAAACAGGGGAACAGTTTATTAACAATCTAAAAAAAGTAAAAATTTCTCAAATTAAGTATATTTACCCTTAATATCAATAGGTGAATACGATGACTTGCCAATGTACTGCAAAAACAATCTAGGAGTAAATAAAAATTTTCTTAATTTAAGTGTATTTACCCTTAAATTGAGTACCGTAGGTAAATAAGATGATTAGCCAATGGAATGAGCATTTTTACTATTGAAATAAGATTGTTAGATTATGTGCAGTTGAAATAAGACAATGCCATTGTTTGTTCTTATTTTTTTATTTTATTTTTATTTTTTTTATTTAATTTTAAAATGCACCTATTTTAAGAAAAAAATGACTTAATTAGATTTTTTGCAGTGTGGAATGAGTATTTTAACTCTTAAAATAAGATAATTAGAAAAAATGCAGCTGAAATAAAAAAAAATTGAGTTGTTTTTTTCTTTCCTCCTCAATTTAAGAAAAAAATGCACTTATTTAAAAAAAAAAAAAAAAGACTTATTTAGATTTCTAATTTCAGTGCATGTCATATAGTTTAAAACAAAATTTCATGTTGTTCCAGTTGAAAATTCTAATTAATTAATTTTACTTTCCCTGAATTAAAACAAATCTATTAAAGTGAAGAAAAAAATTAACAGAAATAATTAGTTGCAAATTAAATATGTACTAAAAGATGAAATTAAGCTTTTGAATATTAGGTCAATTTATGTTTATAATTCAGAAATATTATATAGTTTTGACTTGTTTTAAATGAAAATGACCTGTTTTAATCAAATCAGAATTAGAACTGAACTAAACCGATAAATTCTGCTGTAATAAATTGAAGACATTTTAAAAAAATTTGGTTCAAAATAACATTTAGCAGAAACTGGGATTCTATCTCAATATGACAGAAACTATCACCTTCATTTTAGAATCATAATTAAAACAGAAACCTAAAGAAAAAACTCAAGTGGTTCCAAGGGAGTTATCAATCACTATGTTTGTTCCAGTGTATATCATCATTAGATTTTTTTTTTTTTTAGTATTATGTCTTCAGTACAGGGGCCATAACTGGGACCAGGACCATTTGTATCGGGGCCCCTCTCTCTTGTCCCTGTTGGCCCCTATCTAGAACTGCCCATGTGTGTTGCTATTCCTGTAATTCAATCTTCTTGTCTTGTTTTACCTGAAGCGGAGGTGGTGAAAGAGCTTTCAGACGACTACACCATTGGATTTGGAAAGTTTGTGGACAAAGTAATTGAGCCTCAGACTGACATGAGACCTTCCAAGTGAGGAGAAAAACAGCAGATAGATACAGAAACTTTTCTTGTTTTGGCTTCTTTCTAACTTAACATTCCTCTTTTGTCTCTCAGGCTTAAACAGCCATGGCCCGATAGTGATTCTCCGTTCTCCTTCCAAAATGTTATCAAGCTGACAAACAATGTAGATTCCTTCATATCAAAGCTCCAAAACCAGAGGATATCTGGCAACCTGGATGCTCCCGAAGGAGGATTCGATGCCATTCTGCAGGCAGCGGTGTGCGAGGTTAGTAGAGTCCCATGTGAGACATGCATGTCCTGAAGAAAATACAAGCCTGAAACTTCACATTTCCAATCAAATTTATTTTACTTACTTTATTAATTATGTCATTTAGTCCAGATTGTAAAGGTAATTAATTGGATTTTAAAGGTATAGTGGAGGATGTTCTTTTTCTGGGTGGATCATCAAAATAAGTGGTCCTCCTAATTGTCAATCATTCTGGTGATGTGTTTATGTAAGGCCGTCCTACGTGCTCATCCCCATTCTCTCTTACCGGTGGTGAGTCTGACATAGTGGAAAAATTGCAAACCTTCTTTTGTAAAGTAAATTGTATGAGCGATGCATGAGCAACTTTTAAACAGAGCGTGCACGAGGAGAAACTGAAATTTTGATTTTCAAAGTATTTCACTGAGTGCCCTTTGAAGGGTTAAGAGCCTATTATTTAACTAGAAAGTTAAAAAAATAATATATGTTTTATTTTCATAAGGATAATGTCAGGTACTTTTTAATAGATCTGGGTATTATAAATTCTATATCACTTATTTTAGATTGTAAAACTTTCATTAATTTGATAAAGTTTCATATTTTAAGCCTTTATTTCTTTTTATTTCATAATTATGGTTAAAATAACAAAAGCCACAAATTTATTATCCCAGAAATATAGAATATTGTAAAACAGTGAGTTAAAGAAACTCTTGGTTTGACTTTCTAATTAGCTAATTAACCAAAAGTGAGTGTAAATGTTTCCTGAATCTCTAAATGCTCTTGCTGACACAAGTCCTGAAGACGGTCATCAACATTTGGATGAGCTTCGCCAGGGTTTGACCTGTGCTCGAGTCAGAGCCTCGAGATCCACCGTGCCCCAATATATCACATCTTTCATGTCGAGTCACTTCTGAACCAAAGAGAGCATCAGAAGTGTCTCACTCAGGCTAAGGAGAACTGGGCTGTTGCTTAGAGATCCAAAGTCTTAATTTTATACAGAAACCAAAGTGTTAGAGTCTGCAGGAAAAGTGGAGCAGATCCACATTAAAGGGTGTGAGTGTGGATTCTAGTATGTCATCTGCTGTCAATAATCAACACAGCCACCTAACATGAGATTTTAGAGCACACAATGTTTCCTTCTTCTGAAAATCCCCGTTGGAAATGCTGAAAATGCAGCATCAACCCACACTTCCGAAGCTAGTAAAACCTGGTTCAGTGACCAGTATTATTGGCTGGCAAACCCTGCCCTGACTTAAAACTGATGTATAATCTGCCGCACCTTGACCAGAGAAAGATGAGAGGCACATGACCTAACAATGAAGATGAGCTTAAGGCCACTGTTAAAGCTTTCTGGACTTCCACCAGAGCCCAGCAGAACCAAAGTCTGGCCGTGTGTTACACAACATCGATGCAGTAACCAAGTATTGACAGCGTAGAACTTCAGAAGTCTGATATTTCAGTTGCTCCATGTAGGTTCATTTATATAAAAGTGATTTTCTAGCATCTCTTTCAATGTCTTACTTTGACTTGGACATTACAAACAGTTTGAGTCATTAAGAGATGGATTACTGGTGTACTTTAGTTCATTATACTTGTGCCAAAGTCAATTTCACTCACAGATTACCGGGCCTTCAAGATGTCTTCAAGATGAAAAAAAAATGCAGCCATCACAGTCCTAAGAATAGTGGTTTTGTCATTTGAAGAAAATAGATGCATTAGTACTTATTCATCTTTCTAATTTCCTTTTTCCATATATGGTCCTTTCTTTCCTATTCCAGGATCAGATTGGTTGGCGCGAACGCAGCACTCATCTCTTGGTTTTCTCAACCGAGTCAGCCTTTCATTATGAGAGCGATGGCGCCAACGTGCTGTCTGGTATTCTGCCACGCAACGACGAGCTCTGCCACCTGGACGCAGATGGAAAATACACAGAGGCCACAAAGCAGGATTACCCCTCTATACCCACACTCATCCGTTTGCTGGGGAAACACAATATCATCCCCATATTCGCTGTCACAAACCACTCCTATACTTTCTATGAAGTAAGCAGACTGCAGCTGCTCGCCTTTATAAATGCTTTTCAGTTTAGAGGCTTCAAATGACTAATTTTTTTGTGTTTGCAGAAATTAAAAGAGTATTTCCCCATTGCTGAAATTGGTTTGCTTCAAGAGGATTCATCCAACATCCTGGAGATCATGAGGAATGCCTTTGAGGTAAATGCTTGAAACTCTTAAATTTTGGGAAAAGTAGAAGGAGGTGCCTCATGGCTGATCCCTCGTATTCTTTTTGTTTCAGAGTATCCGCTCTAAGATGAGCATCCGTGCAGAAGACAGGCCGAAGGCTTTTGGTGCCCAGTTTTTTCATCCAAACAATACAGTTGCAGAGTATGGGAGCTTTAACTTCAAGCCTGGACAGATTGTAAGGATTACATAGAATGAAATATAAACATTTCACTTCTTGATCCAGCTGGATTTGAGGTCCAGAAGATCTCATCAGCTGCGTTTACATTAATCATATAAATGCACTTGCATACGGTGGTTTTCCAGCCATTTTGAAATTTCTGTGTTTTACAAAAAGTGCAAAGGAAACTTTTTTTCACATCACACGAGTCATATATTTAACATAGACGGTTTTGCTGACAACACAAAAAAAGACAACTTGAATTAGTAGGAGGAGGATGGCGAGGCCTCGTGATTTTGATTAGTTATTGGGTGCACAAACATTTTCACACATGATTTTAATTGCATTTGGTCTTGACAATGATTGCAGAATTGGATTGTTTTATTTCGACGTCAGCATAATACTGGCTGTCTGACTGCGATTTAAACCAGAGAGCAGCTAAACATAATATGTAATACTAAGACAAACTAGCTGGTGATGGAGAAGCATGCTCTGTTTCCTGCATGTAGGGTTTGGTACAACATGTTTACTGGTTGCTTTTTGACACAGCTCTTTGTCAAGTCTAGCATATGAAATCTTTCATAACAATCTTAATCTTTACAGTGTTTCATTGGGATTTTATGTTATAGACTGACACAAACAACATAGCAAAAGATTTTAAGGAAATATGTTTGGGTGTGTGTGTGTGTCTCCAGGGCAAGTTTAAGGTGAAGCTCACAGCCCAACAAATGATTGGTGAGACACTTGTCTGCAAAATGGATCCAGATGAAAAAGAAGGTACAATCAGAGTCAAACCAACAACTTTTAATGCAGCGGTCGATGTGAAGGCCTCCATTTTGTGTCCAACCTGTCCATGCGAGAAGGTTAGAGAAACACACTTAAACTGAAGCACATAAAGGTGTCCTTATGCTAATTTTTTGACCTGTTATGCATCAGAATCAGACGGTCTTTTCATGTTTCTGTTTTCAGACAGGTATTCCGAAAGCTGAGAGGTGCAATGGAAATGGAAAGTTGGTGTGTGGGAAATGTCAGTGTGATGATGGCTGGTGAGACTTTGGAGGACTGCATTTTGCTACATGAGACTCTGCCACCCCCTCCTAATGTCCTCACTTTTTCATTTTTTTAGGCAGGGCCCTTTCTGTAACTGCTCAAAAGCCTCTGAGTCAAACAAGAACCAGTGCAAAGGCCCAAACATGAAAGAGCCCTGCTCAGGCCGTGGAGACTGTCAGCCATGTGGAACCTGTGTGTGCTATAATCCAGACCAGTATGAAGGACCCTACTGTGAATATGACAAGACCCAATGTCAACGTTATGGAGGCTTCCTTTGCAATGGTATGTTGAGTTGAAAGGATGCATTAAAGCAGGTTACTCTGACTGTCCCGGAAGTGTTTCTAAAGGTCTCTGGAAATTATCCTCCCTGGATTATCTTCTAATGGGAAAAAAGTATTTGGATCTGTTTAAATAGGGAGGTAGAATGTGTTTAAGGAAACAACACAATACCCTGTAAAGATGTTTAAAATGCTTTTGCTTCACTCTTGTCAGATCGTGGTTCTTGCGTGATGGGTCGTTGTTCCTGTTCAGAGGGTTGGGAGGGCGCTGCCTGTGAGTGCGCCAAAAACAATGAAACCTGCTTGGACAGCAATGGGGTGAGCGGAGCTACTGGTTTACGTTCAGACCACCCTAACCACGCTCTCCAATATGTGGACGATGCCTTAACCTATCTTTATGTGTTGTAGAACATTTGTGGTGGTCGGGGCGAGTGTATCTGTGGGAGGTGTAAGTGTCCAGAATCCAAGATGGAAATGTCTTCAACCTGTGAGCTACAAAACTTTGAGGTTGGTCAAGTATGCAGACTAAAATCATAATGTACTGGTTAAGGTGTCTTGCATTTGTAGCCTTGTCTGATCATCCTTTTGAATTGTGCGTCTAGTACCAACAAGGCTCATGTGAGATCACAAGGAGTTGTGTCTTGTGTCAAGCATGGAATAAGGGAGAGTTTAAAGACAAAAATTGCGAAGGCTGCTTCAAAGTCGTCATGGTGGATAAGCTGAAGGAAGGTAAGCTCAAACCCTTTCCAAATTAAGATAAGCTTGTTGAAATTTGTGGTCAAATCATCTAATAGTTGTGTACAATAATTTTTTCAGCGGAGGAAGTGCTTCACCACTGCAGTTTCCGAGATGAAGACGATGATTGCACATATAAGTATACTATCGCCGACAGTAAAGGCATGGAAAATGAGGACCTGCTGGTTGAGGTGCTCAAAGAAAGAGGTGAGATGCATGGATCCAAAGTATACAAATCCAGATGACTGCTTAAATGATACACTATTGCAAAATGAAAAGTTTAAGTAGTTGAAACTTGTAAAAGAAAATCCCCTTTCCCTCCCTTTATTATGTTTTGGTGCAAGTGAGCAAAGAAAAGCTGATTCTAAGTCATGTGTTACTACCATGTTTTTCCAGCCGGCATTAGTTCTTAACAAGGTACACTTGGAAAAAAGACAGAGACAGTTATACCAAACGGTATACTGCTTGGATCCCTCTTGGACAACTTCTAGATATCAGTGGTTCAGTCCAGGTTACTGTCCAGGTGTTTCCCAAGTGTATAACTAATTACCGAGTATATATGAACTTACTTCTTCTAAAGTTCATAACCATATCCTTGGTCTTTGTGGAGCAAAGCTAGGTAAAGGTTTTCCTCTGCTTTGTTTCATATCACCAACGAACACAACCACTACTGGATGATCAGAGAATTTCTGTATAAAGTTTCTCTATATGTGTGATGAAAGTTAGGGGCAAAAGGAAAGGGACAGACGTACTTTGGTCTATGTGTCAAACAGTGCAGACTGGATGGTATGGGATGCACTTGAGAAGTGGAAGTACTCACTGTGTTCCAGAAGGTGATACATTGTAGAGGACCAATTTATCCAATTGTAAAAGTCCTGAAATTAGCAAGGACCGGACTCTCTAGATTTAAAATTCAGCAAATCAGGACAAACCCTTAGGCCAAAGGGGGGAAGCACATCAGCGGGCGCCATGATAAGTGCTTTACGAGCAATGCTGGCAGTAAGGAAGAAGGTAGGGAGAGGAAGCAGAATGCTTCCTATCATAGTTCCTTTAACAGAGGAACCTCTTAATGTTCGGGACTTAGGATAAACAGATTCCCACAATGCTGTGCATGATAGGGCATACATTCACCGACCACTTTATTAGGTACACCTTGCTGTTACCAGGTTGGATTAAATCTTAAATCTTCATGGCATAGATTCAACAAGGTACTGGAAGCATTCCTCAGGGAGTGTTGTCCATATTGAGATGGTAGTATGAAGCAGTTCCTGCCAATTTGTTGGCTGCACATCCATGATGCGAATCTCCTGTTCTGCTACATAGCAAAGGTGCTCTATTGAATTCAGACCTGTTGACTGCAACAATACTCAGGCTGTGGCTTTGAAAACGGCTTTGAAACAATGCTCAGTTGGTACTAAGGGACCCAATGTGTTCAAGAAAATGCTCCCCACAGCATTACACCACCAGCATCAGCCTGAACCATTAGAACACGGCAGTATGGATCCATGCTTCCATGTGGTTGATGCCCTACCATCAGAATGTCGTGGGAGAAATCCAGACCAGGCAACGTTTTTCCAATTTTTTATTGTCCGATTTTGGTGAGCCTGTGAGAATTGTAGTCTCAGATTCACATTCTTAGCTGACAGGAGAGGCACCTTGTGTGGTCTTCTGCTGCTGTAACTCATCCGCCTCAATGTTCAACGTGCTGTGGATTCAGAGATGTTCTTCTGCATACCTCGGTTTTTAATTATTTGAGTTGAATGCTGCCTATCAGCTCAAAAAAGTCGGATCAATCTTCTCTGACCTCTAGCATCAACAAGGCATTTGTGCCCACATAACTGCTGATCGTGGAATATTTCGTTTGACAATTCTCTGTGTATCCTACATATGGTTGTACGTGATAATCCCAGTATATAAGCAAATTCTCAAATACTGAGTATTATCCGTCGGGCACCAACAACCATGCCAAGTTCAGAGTCATTTAAATCACCTTTGTCCCACATTCGGATGCTCGGTTTAAATTGCAGATCGTCTTGACCATGTCTACATGCCTAAATGCATTGAGTTGCAGCCATGTTATTGGCTGGTTAGAATCAGAGTTGGGAAGTAACGAAGTACAAATACTTTGTTACTGTACTCAAGTAGATTTTTCTGATATTTTTACTTTACTTTACTACTTATTTTTATGGCGACTTTTTACTTCTACTCCTTACATTTTTACACAAATATCTGTACTTTCTACTCCTTACATTTTTAAAAATTGGCTCGTTACTTTAGTTTTGAATCATTTCAATGGAGTTACCGTTATTATTTTTCACGTCATCAATACCAAATTCAATCTAATTGGATGGGAATCTACGTTGCATTTGACGCACCACTACAAGATGAATCGACAGATTCGGCGGTATTCATTCGCGGCAAATCATTGCAGCTTGGTGGCGGTGGCATTAGTATAGTAGTATGGACGACGAGATGATTGAAAATGAACACAACGGAGATCTAGTCCTATTGGCATGAAAAAAGTGGTTTCTACTTTTACTTTTATACTTTAAGTAAATTTACAAGCCTGTACTTTGTTACTTTTACTTGAGTAAAGAAGTTTAATCAGTACTTCCACTTTTACCAGAGTATTTTTTAACACAAGTATCTGTACTTTTACTCAAGTACGGAAAGTGAGTACTTTTGCCATCTCTGGTTAGAATAGCTGTACGTGTAATCTGTGTGACACACGTAAAACTTCACCTCTTCATGCATTTTTATACAGTAGAGCTTGAACTGTCCATTAAAAAATGGCCTGACACATTACACAAGATAATGGCCGCATCCTGAAGTACACACAGTCTTCTTTTTTTTTATTTGAAAAATTAATGACAACCCAACTCTGTTAAAGTCTTTTACTTCACGTATAACACCATGAAAATTTTTTATTAATAAGTATAAATCTTCACAGTTATCAGTTTAACTTTATCTTAAATGTTAAATGTCGGTTCTGATCTGTCATAGTCTCCTAATGTCCCATTACCCCACCCTAAGGTGAGACACTAACAGGACCACATGGTATACATATGTTTCACACTTGATGTATTTTATATTTCTCTTCCAGATTGCCCACCAGCTAGTCTGCTGTGGCTGCTGCCACTCATCCTGTTCCTCCTGCTGCTGCTGGCGCTCCTGCTGCTCTGCTGTTGGAAATACTGTGCCTGCTGCAGCTCATGCTGGCAGGTACAACCGCTCACTACTTGAAATATAAAAGCTTGATTTTTTTCCAAATGATGGTTCAACTAAAGGTTTTTTCATTTTTATTTGATACAGAGCTGTCTGGCCTTGCTGCCATGCTGCAGGAGAGGTAAACATATAGTATGAGATGCAATAGAACTGCCTTAATCCCCTCGTTTTAAACCACCTACCATGTATACTAAGCAACACTTCCTTTTAGGTCGCATGGTCGGCTTCAAGGAGGATGAGTACATTTTCCGTCAGTCTCAGTTGACCTCTAACCATTTGGACACACCGATGGTGAGGACTGGCCCACCTAAAGGAACTGATGTGGTTCGCTGGAAGGTCACGGATAATGTGCACCGTGCGCCCAATCATCCACAAGCGTTGTTACAACCAAACCCAGATGAAATGAGTAAGTCCTATTTGAGATAAACCTCAGCTAATGTTAGTAGTTAGAGCAGTAAAAGCAACTAAATCTTTTTTTTTTCACCTTTTTTAGTCAACTTCCCAGTCTCCCTCCGATTAAACAGGCTGTTCTCTGAGAACCTGTCTCGCCTTGATTCAAAGGACGCTGAGCTGCTCCGTAAAGAAGCGGCTGACAACGTGAGCTGGGTTTTTATATGCTGCTGGGTGCATATTCTGATGGTGTGGCTGATCACTGTTTTGTTCTTGGTTACAGTTAAACGAGGTGTACAGGCAGATACCTCAGGCGCAGAAGGTGCAAGATATTTCATTCAGGTATTTTACTTCTCAATGCAACACTCCCTTTTTTGTTTTGTTGTTGTTGTTTTTTTTTAAATGTCTCTTCATTTTCTAAACCCGTATTAAAATGAAATATCTTGCCAGTCAAAACTCACATCAATTTTCTTCTCCACAGAACGCAGAAAAATTCTGGAAAAAGGTATAAGTTCAATCCAGCATATATTTGAGACTGTTTTTTTTTTTTTTATTGCTGTAACTAGAGGTGTTTTATCTCTAACCCTGCCCCTCAGGGAGGACTACACCATCTTGGATACTGTGCTGTCAGCTCCCCGGAGATCCTATCCAGATATAGTCAAACTGACTGAGAAGAACGTCCAGTCCGGAAGCTTTGGTGACCTTAAAGTGGTCCCAGGCTACTATACTGTGGCCACAGATCGAGGTGAGTGGCATAAATTCGTAGTCTTGGTACAGTACAAGGGAATGAATTATTTGTAAATCTATATAAAAATATTTCATATTTATTAATGTTTCATTAATCATGTTACATCTGCAAACCAGACATGAACAAAGTGGTGACGAACAAAACTAAAAATGTGGTTTTCAAAATTTGGTATTTGCATCACAGTTCTTTGCAACCAGAGCTCCAAGCTCTTCGTGGTATGTCTTTACCCGGTTTCTTTTATGGAAACATATATTTTGCCTTATTACGAAATGGTTTGGGCCAAGTTGGATTGGCGAAAATCTATAAACAGAAATTTCTCAGGTCTTGTCAAACATTCTAAAAACAAGAGGGTCAGGACTGGAATATTCAGAAAGGGGAATTTGATGTGGTCATTGTCCTTCTGGAAGGTGGACCTCTGCCACAGTCTTAGCTTATTTTTCTAGAAAACTAATCCGGTTTTTTATGTCATGAATGCAGGAAGACTTGGTAATACAGATATGTATGTATGTATGTATGTATGTATGT